CTAGGGTTGAAAGCTGTGTGTCAGAGGAGAATCCTAGCCTATAAGTAAGGTCGTGCGCAAGTGTAATATTACTAATGTTTCCCAAGCAATGGTGCCACGATGCTGAGGAATTTTATAATGATAAAAATATTATAATTTTTAATATGCCGCTGTTTTGTTTTTCTAGTGAACATTTCTTTACATTCCTCCAGCTTTTTTGGTACGACGGCGTAATATTATGAAGACCGGAGCATTGGCCAATGATATATTCTGTCCATTAGGTGTTATATGCGAGATTTAGATGGAGTTTGCCGACATTTTGGCTTATAGTTTTTCGTACCTGACCAGACGAGCACTATTAGCTTCTCAAGAACAACTTCACAAGGTGGACTTATTTATGTACATAACCCAAGCAAGATTTGATTCACCGTTCAGATGACAGAGGGCATTGCCAATTTCCTCCCAAGTTTGAACAAGTGTGGAAACGATTTAACTTGTCCTTGACATGTTATTTTTAGACATGACCGGTATATACTTTTTTTAAACTTTCAAACAATGTCGTGTTTCTTTTCAAGAGCTGCAGTGAGTTCCTGTGAAAGTAGATCACGGTAAATCAAAGCAAAGCATTTAAAACATCAGGAAGTGTACGCTTGACCTATTGACGTTTACCGCATACAGAACAGGTTCATCGTCACGCGATGTGGTGTGCCGGCATCCATCGCAAGTTATGACGGAAGCTATTGTAATTTAAATTAGAGTTCTTATAACCTCATAATTTGCTTTTAAACATCGTGCAAAAACACGGGAGTAGAATGTACACTATTTTTAGCGTGAAGCACGCCAGTTAATTGATTGTATGTTTTCCTTTGGGATATTCGTAGTATCACACAGGTATTTGCAACGCATTATTTGCAAAGTTCAGACATCAGGGGACGACAGTAAAGAATTAAAATTACATTCACAAACAACAGCAGATTAAATTCAGGGAATGAATGTTATCATTCAGTTCATAATCTCTTTTCGTCTCGTCTTCTATTTGAGAACGTAGCGATTAAAATGTACCTCTTGGTTCGTATGGTCGTGAAATTTGGTATCTCGCATTAAAAGAACAGAAATTTCGGGTGTTTAAGAACAGGGTACTGAAGAAAATATTTGGGCCTGGGATATAGGAACGGAATGATAAAGGGAATTTCGAATTGGGGGGCCTCACCAAATGTTATTAGGGAAATCAAATCTAAGAGGCTGAAATGACGGGGGCATGTAGCACGAAAGAGAGAGATGAGAAATGCATACAACATTTTAGTCGGAAAACTTGGAGTGAAGAAGAAACCACCTTGCAGACTTGGGTGAGAATGTGAAGGTAATATTACAACTGATATTAAACAAATAATGTGGTCTGGTGTTGACTGGACATGTTAGTTTTTGGATAGGGACTGGTTGGGGGGGGGGGGGGTTTTTGATCACGGTAATGAGCCTTTGGTTTCCATAAAACGCGGAGAATATGTTGACTAAGTTAAGCGATAATCAGCCTCTTAAAACGGTTCTGCTACACGAGTTATTTACGAGAAATTATTTAGGTGCATGATATGTTTACTTCAACACGTATTTAACTTACATAATGCAGATTTGCTACAACAGAGGTCGTAATTAAATTGTATCTCACAACTATAAAATGGAACGTGATATGAAGAATTTAGTCTAATAAATTGTTTCTGTTGTAAAATTGATTCCAATTGTAGCATCCAGAGCACCCTGTGATCGGTTATCTGCTGCGTAAAAAATCTCACCGTAATAAAGAATGATTTGAGAGAACGAGAGTAGTGGATGTCAACGGACATGCACACAGTCCTTGCATATCAAGCATGTGTACATACGCGAGAAGCAATCTCATACCGCGTCTCAGCAGTAGGTTACCATAGACGGTTCGAATTCGACACTTAGGCTATTGGCTTTGAAGACAAAGAACAGAGGGTCAGTGACACTAGATTATGGGGGGGGGGGGGGGGGGGTTTAGAAACACTACCATATATTTCCCTTTAAAATGCGTGTTCAGCTTATGATCATTCATACAATACAGTTATCTTTCAGAAGTTGCACGGACATTAGCATTGCTAGTGCCGATACAGCAACTCTCTCCCCCAAAAAGAGACGAGTTTGAAGTTCATGTTCATTCACTGTACATTTGCAATCCTTGAATCTTATCACCAAATGCCAGATTGTCACAAGCTTCTGAGAGTGAAGAATACATGAAAAAACAAGGCAGGAACTTGATGCAGAAGGTCTTGATGACCTTTACAATCGCATCCCCATGTATCGCGCCTCAGTTCACATGAATCCCACGCAATTACTTAAGCTAAGAGAGAAATGATGAAGGAAAGAAAAATGTTTATTGTTGTTTACAGGACGTATTTATATTTGTTTATATTTTTACATATGTATTCCTTGTAATCTGATACGTTTCCATTTCTTTTTGTTTAGTTTCAGACAATAAAGTTGTTTTATTTTGGTCATTTGTTGGTCGTTCGGGAACGCAACTGCTGATTATAACCTAGTGCTTATGGGAATTAACGACTCACTTTACGAACTCTCTCTAGGAATGTAACTACACGCAAGAGCTGGGATTGCTTGAACTCGTTGCAACATAATTTTATTTGCTGGACAACAATCTCTTTACTCCTGAACCTCAGGCTCTTTTTTGAGCCGACAGCCGTAAGTTTCAAGTAAACACATCGGAAGGCCGGTGCTCCTTGTCGGGATAAAAATATCCCGACAGGAACTGAGATTTGCCTCAGTGCCAAAGATCGAGACCAGAAATCTGTGCGATTACGTCACCCATCCTTCAACTGTAAGTCACAATCACCACAAGTTCTAGCTTCCGTCCCGGGTTATTCCATCAGCCTCACACTGTAATGTTTATTTTTTATGTCGAACTGCGCAATCGGCTACAAAGCGTCTGATTATTCTTCTAGTGGGATGAGAATCGAGCCTCGGTCAGAGCACCGTTTATGTTGACTTAGATTTTATTGATAAAGTCCAAGTTTCATCCGCCAATCTTATAAAATCGTCATCTCGCCCCATTCGATGCCATGTAAACTCTGCAGTTCATATGGTATTGCCAGTTAGTTCAAGGTTATATATTTACGAACTCAACCAAAGCCTATGTTATGTTCAAGCTCATAATGATATTCACAGGTGAGCCTCATTCATTTAACCTTGGATTATCTTAGTAATGTCGGCTAACTATTCCACAATACTCCAAAGTCTACATTTCTATTTCTTTTTCGAAAACACTCCCACAGAATCTCCTCTCGGCCGCAGGATTTGTTTATCCATTCTAGTGCTTCTCTTTCTGTTGCAACTATTCTCGACTCTCAATACAAGGAGATTTCATTTTCTTCATCCGACAAAGACGAGGAATAATTGAGAAGAAAAATTGAGGAAGGTTCACGAACTCAAAATTTTAATTTTAATTTAAAGTTACTTTGAACATTAAAGATTTTTCTCCAGTTGTCTTACTTTTGTAAATAGCCATTCATCAGCTATTTTCTTCGTGATTGAAATAAAATAAATCGAAAGTGGTGTACACAGAACCACTGATATATTTATTATTATTTTTGTAAACTGTTTTGCCACAATTGCAAACTTAAAAACATGATTTGTGAGAACTTTCCAAAAACTGTTTTCTTACCCTCTACTGTTATGATTTGTATCTTACTACAACAGCCTAATCTAGTCCAGTGGTATTCAACCTGGGGTACGCGTACACCCGGTGGTACGCGAAGACATCTTAGGGGGTACGTGAAATTTAAAAAAATATATTATTTTATGATAAACACTGAATAATCAGTAATTTAAGTTATTTAATTTATTTTAGATGTAGATTATATACTACGTATAAGTTGAATTATTTACTAACAACTTTGGGGGTACACAGTTGAAGAGAAATTACATCTGGGGGTACGCGAACAAAAAAGGTTGAGTACCACTGGTCTAGTCGATCATGTGGGTAACATTCATAATAGTTGCACAACTTGTTCGCAGATGGCAGAGAAAGATTGATGAGGTTTTCATCTAGGGAGAATATTTCGAACCATTACACTTAATGTTAACATTTGTAGTGTGTTTTAAGCGCTCCTACTTCACAATCTCGAACTAATGGCTTCAAAATTGGGCCCGTAGACCGGCTGTACTAACGGAGTTTTTTGTTTTCCTTACTTAATCCAGGCAAACGTTGAAATAATGCATTAAAATGGGCTAGTGTTTTGTTTTACAAGGTAAGCACACTGCAGCGGATTTTGGAGTTCAGCGTACCGAATCCAACCATTCTACTACATTCTTCTTTCCATTTCCCCACGCCCTGTCCCTGGGCGTATCGTTCACAGCATTCTTCAGATGAACATCGGCTCCTCTCTCTACGAGCAGCTTCACGACTGACAAATGTCCGTTTACTGCAGCCAAGTGCAGCGGCGTGTTCATACCGAAGTTCATAGCGTCCAGCTTCGCTCCCTTGTCGAGAAAAAGGCGACAGATTCTCAATCTGCCTGCTGACGAGCCTTGATGCAAAGCGGTGTTCCCGCTAGAAGAAGCCGTGTCCTCCAAGTTAGCACCAGCCTCTAACAACACCCGCGCCACCTCGACATAATCATTCATAGCAGCAGTTATCAGAGGTGTGAAATGGTGGACGGAATCGTCTCTGACATTTACATTTGTTCCTTCCTCTACCAAAGATCTTACTTTAGCAGCATCTCCAGAGTAGGTATGTTCTGTGAAATGAAGTGTACCAAGTTAAGAAAAGTTACGACAAATGTATCCTATCTCTTGCAGCCCTCGTATCATTAAGCGACCTTATACTCACAATATTCGTTGTTTGCCGTTCCAGTTGCAACACTGTACGGTTCAGTGACTGTACTCTCTTTGTCAGACTTTCGTTGACAGTCTGCAATTGTTTCATCTCCTCGTCTTTACTCTTCAAAATAACTTCCTCAGCTTCCAGCTGTTTCTTTAGATTATGGTTGACTGCTTCTAATTGTTCGCGTTGGATTTTAAACTGGTATTCCACCAATTCTTGTGAATTCAACCTCTTTGTTTCTATTTCGAGACGTTCCTGAAATGTAAGAATGGTGTATTCTTTGGAGTACAAGAAATCCCAAAGGTGTTCTTTATGCCGCAACACGTGTGATGACGTCAGAAGGGAAACAGGAAATAAATTTACCAGTGGTGTCCAAGATCATGTTGCAAAAGTGTGATCCGAGATCAGTCGCAGCAACGCGAACAGAGGTTATTGTGATGAAAGACACATGGATGGTCCCATAACGTGTTCTTCACTTACGCTGACGCGTAAAAAAACATCACACACACACACACACACACAGCGTCGTTAAACTAAGATAACGTTTCATAATTTTCTTTGAGCTGTTATTCAACCATTCTACAAATACCAGAAAGTTCAATACCTTGTCCACAAAAGCATGCCGATGGATCAGTTCACATCCACATGACACACTATTCTGTTATGAATTTTAACATTGTCCCCTCTTCTACGCCAAGTGGTCTCAACTTTTTTCTGTATTTCCGTCAACAATTTTGTTTTTATTTTTGAACTCCCGTATCCGTTCTACGAACCCCACACATTTTATCTCCCTTGATTAGGTTCACCTTAATAATAAACCATAATGAGAACGTGTTAGTGATTTCCTCATGATGAACCTTTCTCCCTCAAACCTGCCTCTACAGTACATGTATTCTGCTAAGCACCTTGAATCTTTTTCCCATGGGGGAGGAACCAAGTTGATGTTACGTATTTATGCCGCACATTAATTCAGGTTAAAGACAGGTAACTCTGAACTTCAAGAAAGCGCTCTATTCTTATTTTCTTCATAAACGTAGTTTTGATTTTAGCTGTCGTACCCAAGTATTTGAAACTTGCCACCGTTAAGAATGATGTAATAACAATATATACCATGATTTTATCTTGCACTTTGGTGTCTAACCGTGAACAGAATAATAATAATACTAAAAAGAACAACAAGCTACTTAGGTAACAAACGTCCAAAAAAATCCCGTACCTTTGTTTCAGCTCTGTTATATTTAAGAGTTCATTTTCTAGACGAGAAATTTTACTCTGTAAATCACTGCATTGAGAAGATGCTCCATTTGAATGCCTCAACAGAAAAATCACAAACTGGAAGTTCAGCCACGATATAACCTGAACCATTGGGCTTGATCTGTAAACATGTGGTGGTGGTTAGCATCCGCATTTCCTACAATACGCATATTTACATGCACACATGCCTATATGCATACATACAACATTCACACATAGTCAAAACAGAGACCGTACGTGCATAAACAGTCTGTTTGACATTCACATAGAGAAAAGACTAGAACATACTTCACTTCAAAACTGTAAGTGAAAGGAAATATATTCACTCAACATCCGAGGTTCTAACGGCAGTGAAAGTATCGTTCGTAGTCTTCTAGGTTGCCATTTGACCCCAAAAATTGAGGTAAACGTTGGTAACTACGTATAAGTGCACTCCCGCTTTGTAACCGGGTTCAAATATCGGCCCAGAGGCTGGTTATCTTGACTGAAGTTTTCGTGGTTTCCCTCATTCCCGTTAGGAAAATATCGGGGTAGTACAGAAGGCCACGACCACTTCTTTCCACATCCCGCTTTTGTCTAAGATACTGAGAAAGCGTCGGTAAATAACCTATAAATAAATTCTAAACAAAATTCTATTTGTGTAACTCATTCACGGTCAAAACGCAAAATCTACCATAATCTCAGAACATCTATTTTCTTAAACAGAGATTATCGCACATTCATTAAGTCACTTACATAAATTGGAGTATATTGACTATTCACTTCCACAACTATCACTTGCAGATTGCAACACAATCCAGAAACCAACTGTTCCTTGTATGTAATGTGGCATGATGCTAAAGAACAGATCACATTGCTCAGTACGATAAGGAGCATTGCAAACAAATAGGAAGGTTCTGCTGTTTGTAAAAGTATTTTCCTACCAAGCACATCCCAAGAGTTTATTCTTGAAGACACAAGATAATGTTTCCGGTAGGATTATTACGTATTCACAAGCGTTGCATAAAAATGTTCTTATGACATTTTGGATGTAAGTTACTGAACCCATAATCATATTCAGGGCCACTTTTAGGCAATGGTGGACCCTGGGCAAGGTATAATCGTGGACCCCCTCCTTCTTCATGAAATACCCTATAATTTGATATAATATTGAGATGTAAAAACAAGAATATCTGTGGTACGTTCCTTTATAATGTATGCATTAAAGAAAAGGCCTGAAACAACTAAGACTACACAAATGTGTGAAACCGCTAAAATGAAAGTTCTGAGAATTGTTGGAGAGACCATGTGAGAAATCAGGACATTCAAGAAATTTGTAATATTCAACAAATACATGAATGGGTAGCTAAAGGAAGAGGTGAATGGGATGTCTACATATATCGAATCGAAGAAAACAGTATCGTTAGAATAGCTAGAGATCGACTGCCAAGGGGAAAGAGGAATGTTGGCTGCCCTGAAAAATGATGGAAAGATAGTGGAATGAACAGCATTTTAACCTAAAAGAAAGAAAGAGGATAATTTGATACCAGCACAATTGTATTTATATTAAGAAAAGTGAAAGTTGTTTTTACAGAAAATGCCAAGCCAATTATATCTTCAAGTAAATTAAATATGAAAGATGATCTTCTACAGGATGTACCATTTGAAACAAAAACCAATAACAAGCACGAACTATGGTACAAAAATTAAATCAGAAGCAGGTCCACCCCTGTATAATGGACTTTCCCAACCTGCTCTGTAAAACTCAATTCAAGGTCATCCTGATCGCTAGGCCGCTTTTAACACCAAATAATACAATACACCAGCTGACACCATTTGGGACACACAAAGTGTTTGTGACAATTGCTCATCAAGCGATAAAAGAGTTGAAAATAAGTTCATACCAATTTCAAGCAGTGCATCAGCTGTAAGAGTGGGTTATGGCTGTAAGAATTCAATATTGTCATCATTTTGTTTGAGAAGGGGTTCAAGTGTTGTAATTGGGCTTGCATTTTAATTTTTTTTTTTTCATATCCAGTACCCAACATTCAGCATGGTGTGCATTGGTGGTTAGCAGGATTCAAGACCCATCAGTACATGGGTTCGTTTGGGACCGCAACATTTAACGCTCCTGCTGTGACTCCCTTTTTGTGAGATGGTGATGAAAGTGAAGTAATTGTTGGGATGCCACGGAGAAACACCAGAGGAAAACTCCGTGATGCCTGGACCACGGCCTTGCCCAACACAAGTTATAAATTCGGGCACCGCCGGGAATCGAATCCGGGACCCCAGTATTACAAGCCCAGCGTTCTAACCGCTCGACCACCGTGGCAGTTTGCATTTTAAATGCAACATTAATATTCTGTGCAAATAAATAGGATTAACATACACCTAATACATCTTTTTAATTAGTATAACATAATGTCAACTCAATGAATACATTTACATGTACAAGTGTTGGTTGGTGACCACAATTTATCCTAAAATAAATTGTTCAAGTATGTGAGCACAAGTCAAACCAGATAAATCTGCTGTGATCTGCACAAGATAATGTCAAACTGTGGGGACTGAAAGAGACATGGAAGGGAAACAAACATAATTGATCTGCCTTTAGTCCCACAACTGAAGATATAATTTAAATGACCTTAAAGACAGCATCTGTAACCTACTTTTCAGAGAAAGTGCTTGAAGAATCACAGATACTGTATTTGTAGCAAGTATCAGAAGAAATATACAAATACCACAGTTTTGCTGGTAGTGGATAAATTAATACATATACACTGCACTCCTCTGTGAAAAATGCCTCGAGAAATACACCAACACCATGTTTCTATTTACAGTAACTCGAAAAGTGCATAATAAACACCAACGGACCTTACTTGAGGGACAGCCTCAAGAAATGTCTGTAGACATTGCATTCATTTAGGAATATCAGAAAATTAGTACATTGTAATTGGCTGCAATAGAAACAAATTGCACTAAAAAAAGTTTTCCTCTGTTGTTTGAAATCTTCACGTCTTACTGGCTTCCGATTTTCAAGTATCTGCAGCAGAACGCTTCGTAACATTTCCAGTCATGTTTCAAATTTCCACCTGACATTTTCGTGATTTGAAGACTATAATTTAATATCTTGGCCTTCACTGTGCATGGTATATAGTTTTATTCTTTTAAATTAAAGATTCAGTAAGATTTATTTTTACTCTTTTATCTCTTTCTATTTTGAGATGTTTTTTATGTTCTACACTAAGCAATTTTTAATAATACAGTATTTTGTTTCCCCTCCAATTCAGCCATCGTAGGAAACTGGCAGTGTTGGTAACCACCTGCCACCACACGATCAGCATCTTCAATGACATAAAAGCCAAAATCTCAAGATAAACAACCAGTTTCATATTCAAAACAATTTTATTAGTCGTGTATTTAAAAGGTTTCTACAGCGCCACAAAAGATGGAATTCCATTTACCAAAATTATATATGGTATATTACATTGCATCTATTTATTAACTTATAACAACATAATCATTATAAAACATACAAAATTCAATATAGAAGCAAAAAGGTCCTGGACCTCTTTCTATACACAAATACTACACGTGGAATGAATACCAACATCAAATTATTTTGTTTTATATTTTAATTTGGAAAATGTTCATATAAATATATTAGAAAGAAATACAAGGTTATGGTCCCTTGTTACACATAATGATCAACATAAAATGTTTACTAAAACTTCCATTGAACCTTTTCAATGCAAGCATAAATGCAGGAAATAAAAACTGAAGTGGGAGGGGAAAGAACGTGGTGCAAAAAGGAAATATGATGTTTCTACATTTTCTCTGGCGGGACAAAAGTAGTTTTAAAAATTCAATACTGCATGAATGTCTTTATTTTTGTTACTTTAAATATATGGACTTAT